AGAAGAGAAGAATGAGGGGGGATTTGATAGCTGCTTTCAACTACCTGAGAGGTCGTTCCAGAGAGTATGGTTCTAGACTATTCTCAGTGGTAGAAGAGGACAGGACAAGGAGTAATGGTCTCAAGTTGTAGTGGGGGAGGTTTAGGTTGGATATTAGGAAAAACTTTTTCACTAGGAGGGTGGTGAAACACTGGAATGCGTTACCTAGGGAGGTGGTAGAATCTCCTTCCTTAGAAGTTTTTAAGGTCAGGCTTGACAAAGCCCTGGCTGGGATGATTTAATTGGGGATTGGTCCTGCTTGGAGCAGGGGGTTGGACTAGATGACCTCCTGAGGTCCCTTCCAACCCTGATATTCTATGATTTTATGAGGCGGGCAGGAATGGTGCAGACCACCGACGGGCCGTCTGACAGGCTAAAGTTATTAGGTTCATCTCAAGCCTTGGGGTAGAAGGGGACGGCGGAGGGAAAACTGCAGCTCCTAATAGGTCGCGGCAGGAAAATGCAATCCTTGGGAGGGATCCGCAAAAAAAGGGAAAGAAATAACCCCAGGGGCGGCAATAGCATTGCAGGAGGAGGTGGATTGGGCAGGGACAGAGGCAAGACTCTGGTCTTCAGGAGGCAAGCAGCTAAGAGGTGGCGCCTCCCGAACAGATTCGAGGGTTAAGGAGGTGGGGAGGGAGCTCCCAGTCATGCTAGGCACAGGCTCTGTGGTGGATTTGGCAGCCACGGCATCAGGTGGTGGACTACCCTCTGTAGGGTGCCCGTCTGGGAAGGCGGTTAGGGGGAGCTAGCATGGGGAAAGGAGGACTGGGGTGAGGTTGCCCAGATTGAGGCCAGCCGGCAGTAGGTCATCCTCTCCCTGGGTGACCGGGGCCAAACCTAGGGCCTCGATCTCCTCATACATGGAGGAGAGATCGTCTTCTGCCACCCCGGGGGTCTCCCCTCTGGCGCCCGCTACGATGGTCGCTTCGGGGTTCGCGGGGGGTTCTGGGGGTGTTCGGGCAGAAGGGGCTTCCTCAGGGGTCTCGGAGGGTAGGGTCTCCCGTGGAGGGGAGATCCTATCTTCCAGTGCTATTTTGTCTTCCCCTCCCGACACTGGCAGATGGATCTCACTCGTGGGCATAGCGGAAGGCTCAGTGTCAGTGCCCCCCTTCCTGGTCTTCCGGGGGGCCTCCGCATCGGATGGGTGCAGCGGAGCTCGAGCCTTCCGCTTGCCTCGCTTTCCCTGAACTAGGGTCCAGCCCTCCATAGCATCGTCTGAGGGCTGGTTAGCAGGGGTCATGTCGGGGGGCAGAGGTGATGGTTCAGGGGCTCGGGGGGGGGGGTTAACGGTGAGGCAGCATGGGGGGGGTCTCCTTGGGGCAGGCCCTCTCCTATGCCCGGTAATATCTTTCCTGCACCCTCCTCCATAGGCTCTGCTGGATTGTTAACAGCAAGGGCGGGGCTCCCTCGCTCATCTGGGCGCTGTAGGGGAGGTGTCTCTTGGGCCCAGGTGGGAGCAGCGGTGGATCAAGCAGGAGGAGAGGTGGTTTCAGGTCCCGGGAGGCCAGGGGCGTCGGCAACGACGGAGCCGATGTCCTGCCGGGTCTCGGCGGTCTCGGGTGCCCCTCCCCGCCGGGCCAAGGGGCAGTCTCTTCGGACATGCCCCACTGATCAGCAGAGGTAGCACCGGGCCTCTCCTGTGGAATAGTAGACCCGATAGCGGGCTCCCTGGTAGGGGATCAGGAAGGACCCCTCAAGCGCCTCTCCATCATGCGCCGCTGGCGGTGGTAGAAGCTGCACTTGCCGGCGGAACGAAAGGATGTGATGGAGGGTGAGGTCCTTGCAGCCCAATGGGAGAGGGCTCATGACAGAGACAGGTTTCCCCAGGGTGGAGAGAGCGGGTAACACGGCGGCATTGGGTAGAAAAGGAGGGACGGAGGGGTCAGGACTAGGCGGACGCCCAGGTCCTCTAGCGGTTCCAGGGGAACGAACACTCCCCCCACCGCCAGGCCCTTCTCCACCGCCTCCTGGGCGGCAGCCTCCGATTCTAAGAAAAAGACGACCTTCCCGTACATTTTGGAGGCTGCCACAATAGCCATGGGTCCTGCCACCCTCGCCAATGCCTGCACGTATGTCTCCATGTGGGGTGAGGCGGGCACCAGGAGGCAACGAACGCCGTGCTTCCTGGTCATTGTGGGAAAGGGGCCACGGCTGCTATTGATGGTAGCGGAGGTGGTGGGTGGGCGAGATGACGAGACGGCAGGCGGGGGGCGCTGCTACCACCCGGGCATACACCCTGGGGGCCGGGGGAGGGACGCTCGCAGAGCTGGTGGAGGGAACAGCGGGGAGGGACACCATGGTCGATGACGAGGCCACAGCGGTGGGGGCAGCCCCTGCCATGGAGGGCCTGGTGGTTGTAGTGGGGCCCTTTCCCTTCTTCACAGCCTGGCCTTTCCGGCCAACTGGGGGGGCTCTCCTAGAATCTGGGGGGGCTGTGGGCGTAGCAGCGGCAGTAGTCGCCCCGGTGCCTCCTGCTGCTGATGCCCCAGCAGGGGCGGTGGCAGGTGTTTTGGCAGCAGCGGGGGTGGGGGCTTGGGGGTTGGGCAGGGGGGTAGGTGGGTGAGGGGCAGCTGAGGTTGTTAGAGGGGCCTCACCCCTCTCATTCCCCGCCATTGTGAGCAGGGAGAGACACCAAAAGGAGGAGGGGGAGGGGGAAACAGATTAACCACTTCTCCCTGCTGGGCTGCAGGGGGGGGGGGGGGCAAATGGGTCGAACTGGGCGGGGGAGGAAACAGGAGTTGGGGTCAGGTAATAGGGGCAAACTGTGGGGTGAACAGTCGGGGGGGGGGGACACGTGGACCTGGACCCACGCATGTTTGTCCAAAGAGTCTCGCTTGGTCGGCTGTCGTTTCCGGTCCAGACAATGGAATCAGGGAAAGCAGCTGAATCCAGAGGCAGATGGCAAGTTGCCAGCAGGGACGGACGGCGGGGGGGCCGTGACGGTTGTAGTAGTGTTGGGGGAGGCACCGATGGATCGGGGGGGGCAGCTCCATGCCACACCCCCGTTTCCCTACAAATGCAGTTAAGACACAGTCGAACTCCCCCCACATGAGAGTACAGTTCAAAAGTTACTCAGTCTTACGGCCCCCTCCACGATGGTTCGTAGCTTCCCTGGGTGGTTTTTCTGTCTGCTGCCTTCTCTTCCGCTTTTGTAGCTTTGGACAGCAGGGCTTTCAGCAGGCCCAGAACGTCGCAGAGATAAGAAGATTCTTCTTGGCTCGGTACGGGACCATAAACAAACAGCAAAACGGTTGGGTCTGGGGGCTTCCACTCCCCTCCTCCGGGGAGCAGGTCGGCAGTCCTCCCCCCCTCCTCTGGGGGTTTCAACTGGAGCAGTAGCAGCGTCCAAGGGCAGGCGTGGGGGGGTTGGCAGCTAGCTGGCAGCCGACCAGCACTTGAGCAGCAGCAAAAAAAAAAACAAAACGAAGAAAAAGCATCTGGCCCGGTCGGGGGGGATGGGGGGGGCTGAAGCAGGGTCAAAAAGTAAGAAAAGCCCAGGCCAGGGGGCTTTAGGAGAGAATAGAAAGCAGATAGATGAGCAGCAAGCGAAGGAGGTCTCTTTACCCTTGGGAAGGTAACAGAGAAGGTTCCAGAACAATCAGGAACCTTCTGGAGGCAATTAAGACAGACAGGCTGATTAGAACACCTGCAGCCAATCAAGAAGCTGCTAGAATCAATTAAGGCAGGCTAATCAGGACACCTGGGTTTAAAAAGGAGCTCACCTCGGTTTGTGGTGCGCATGTAAGGAGCTGGGAACAAGAGGCACTAGGAGCTGAGAGTGAGAACGCGGACTGTTGGAGGACTGAGGAGTACAAGCATTATCAGACACCAGGAGGAAGGTCCTATGGTGAGGATAAAGCAGGGGGAGGAGGCCATGGGGAAGTAGCCCAGGGAGTTGTAGCTGTCGCACAGCTGTTCCAGGAGGCACTCTAGACAGCTGCATTCCACAGGCCCCTGGGCTGGAACCCGGAATAGAGGGCGGGCCCGGGTTCCCCCCAAACCTCCCAACTCCTGGTCAGACACAGGAGGAGTTAACCTGGACTGTGGGTTCACCAAAACGGCCAAACTGAGGGCTGCCGTGAAGCTCCAAGGTGAGCAAATCCGCCAATAAGCGCAAGACCCACCAAGGTAGAGGAGGAACTTTGTCACACCTTCCAATAATCACCCTTTCCCTCAGTCTGTCAGCATCTACCCAAGCATACATACCACTGCCATAAGCTGCTCCTCTGCTGAAATCTTCATATATGGCTTCATCTGAAACCTTCATATATCACTTCAATGTGACTATGGCAACTTTCTTTCCCATCATCTCCCTAAAATCCAGCTTTCCAGTTTCAGACATTTTCTGTTAGCTTATACCTGCTTTCTCACAAGCATAGTGTGACTGCATTAACCTCTTCTCAAACAACTCAACTGGCTCCCCAGCTACTTCAATTTCCAGTTCAGAAGTGACTTCATGTACACCTTCCATGGAACCCCTCAGACTCTCCTCTCTTCTCCTCAGCCTGTTTCACCCTTCTTTCTGTCCTTCTTTCTGCCATCTGGAATGCCTCGCCTGTATCTTTCTGTCTTATTTTATTTGCTTCCCCATCTCTGATTATTTTATCTCTGTACCTGTATTGTTTATCTCTATAAAGCATTCGAAGATAGTTTTCATGCCAGAAGCTGTGCAAAATAAATTTTATGATTTCATATAAAATATGGATGCTATTTTTAAATGAAAAAGCAATGACAAAAAACAGTTGGGGAAAAATGAACAATCCATTCTATAAAATAATAATAGCACTTCCTTGGTACTTTCCACATTCAAAGCCCATTATATATACTGATGCTGTTACCCATAGATATTCAGTTCAATTATATAAATGCTTATGGAGTACTTAATCATTGAGAAACACTTCCATGGACTGAGTATAGGTTATCACTAAAGTATATAAAAGTTGTTGAATAAATATTACCTTTCCTTGTAGTTAATAAAAATTTGATACAGGTTCTGGTCATTTTTGTTTACAATGGAGTCATAAATATCCTGCATTAGACTTCTGTGGGTTTTCACCAATTCCTTAAAAACAGTAATAGAAGAAAAAAAATTAAAATGCAAATAGAACCCCTAAAGCTTCCAGAATGAAGATTAGTGTCTCCATGGATATCTGTTAATTCCAAAAAACTAAGACACAGATCACTTATGAGTAGCTGCTACTTTCAATGTTTGCTTTGAAATGCCGGATCCTCCATACAATGTGACAAGGGAAACTAAACTCAGAGACCTATTAAAGGCTAATTTATTCCAACTTGAAATGTGCCCTGTTAGTTCAGCTTCATTTTATAATGATAATTTTAAAATTAAGCAAGTCAAGTCAATGTTTTAATGACAAGACAAAAGTAATGATTTGTTTCCCCGAGCTGTGAAAAACCAGTTTTGTACATTACATGGGTCAATTAGTGGCATCCTGGTGCTAAGTTAACTCCAATTACAATAAGTTTCTTGATACAACGGTCCACTAATGGCACAGGAAAAAGACAAGGATGCTGCAGAAATATTTGAGCCAAGCTATATTGCAGCAGAAATTTTAAGATTCTCAATTCAAGACCAGGTAGGTAACTTCTGGGTACTCTTCTGGCTCTGTCAATCTATTTCTTCACTTCAGCAGGTGGGTATTGTAGCTATAAGAACGCTTAATAGAGATCTTGTAGGTGTTTGTCTGTCTGAGGGGTTGGAGCAAATGCAGTTGTATCGTAGAGCTTGGCTGTAGACAGTGGATCGTGTGGTGTGGTCTGGATGAAAGCTGGAAGCATGAAGTGAGCTATAGCTCACGAAAGCTTATGCTCAAATAAATCGGTTAGTCTCTAAGGTGCCACAAGTGCTCCTTTTCTTTTTGCAGATCCAGACTTACACAGCTGCTATTCTGAAACCTGAAATTAGTACATCACTCACGTGCATACTTGGCTGCTCACATAAGTGCTGTACGTACTCACTAGGAGTGCTTGTGTCGATGTAAAGTGAGGTGCACCACAGGTAGGTATCCCAGCGTGCCACCATCCGGCACAATGCCTTTTGGGAAACATTCCCAATATGTTGTGGGAAGGAAATGACCTCTAGCTCCAGAGATCCCTGGGGAAGTCAAGTTCTCATGATGCAACTCTCTCCATTCAGCAATACTCCAAAATTTTTGTGCCTTTTAAAAAAATCCCCCAAACCTGTGCAGCACTTTTCAATGTCTGCCCTCTCTGACATAGCCCGCAGGGCTCTGCACTATTCTCATGAACACTGCAAATACAGGATGCATAATTCTCCTGTCTTTGCAGACCTGCAGGAAGTACCACAACAATGGGGCGACATGACGATTTCTTCAAGGGCAGTTCACTGAGGGGAATAATGAAAAACAATTCAAGGTTGTTGGTGGTATTCATGGAGCAGCTGCAGATGGTAAAGTGCCACCTCTGGGCCCAAGAAACAAGCACTGACTGGTGGGATCACATCATAAAGCAGGTTTAGGACGAGGAGCAGTGGATGCAAAAGTCCACATCACTGGATCTGTGTGCTGAGCTCGCCCCTCAGTGGAGAATTGAGTTGTGATCACAATCTGGAAGCTTGTAATGCCGGACTGCTATCAGTCAGTGAAGAAATCATTTTGGAATTGGAAAATCCACAGTGAGGGGCTGTCATACAAGTCTGTAGGACCATTAATCATCTGCTATGCAGGACTGTGACTCTCAGCTACCTGTAGGAAATACTGGATGAATTTTCAGCAGTGGGGTTCCCGAACTGCGTTGGGGCAATAGACTGCATGCTTATCCCTATTTTGGCATGAGCTCACCTTGCTACAGAATACATCAACAGAAAGCGCTATTTTTCTCTGCTTATGCAAGCATTGGTGGATCACCAGTGGCACTTCACCCATATCAATGTGGGCTGGCCAAGGAAGGTGCACGATGCTCGCATCTTTAAGAACACAGGACTGTTCAGAGAGCTGCATGCAGGGACATTCTTTCCCTGCTGGCACATTACCATTGCCGAAGTTGAAATGCTGAAAATGGTTCTGGGGGACTCAGCCAACCCTTTGCACCTCTGGTTCATGAAGTCATACACTGTCCACCTCAATACCGCCAGGAAAGATTAACTATTGGCTCAGCAGATGCAAAATGACAGTTGAACATGCTTTTGCTAGATTGAAGGGGCACTGGCAGTGTTTTACTCATTAGACTGGATCTCAGTAAGAAAAATATCCCAATGGTTATAGCTGCTTGCTGTGTCCTGCATAATATTTGTGAGGCAAAGCTGCCATCAGGGTAGAGGGCAGAAGTGGAGCATCTGCCTGCTGACTTTGAACCTTGTGTCTACAAGGATTATTACAAAAGCCCAACACATCTTAGTGAAAATGATTTTAGACTGTATTTTTTTATAGTTACTATGAGGGAGGTTTTGAAAGAGCATTTTAACAGTCAGCCACAGCAGTGTTCTCTAGGCCTGGAGCTTTAGTGCTGCTAAGAATTGTGTAGCACTTGTTGTACATTTATAAACACGTCTAGGTATTTTCCTGAAATTATGAATATTGTGATGTTAGATGTGCATTTACAATTACAGTTTGCTTTGAGTATCTCTATGCATTCTGCAATATTTGTTGTGAACTAAGACAGATAATTTCATTCTCCAAAAACTGAACTTGACTGAGTGGGGGGAAAACAGCACAGAAAATCTATGACATGCAGTTCCTGGTAGAAGCGGCAGGTCTGTGGCACAGCATCACATCTACTGTTGGCCTCCCTGGCTTTGTGGCCACCCTGGCAAAATTCCTTAAATTTCATGCAGCATTGCTGCAGGTCCCTGTCGTACCCCTTTGTCTGCATCCCTCATGCAATCTGCTTGTAGATGTCCACATTTCTGTGGCTGGTCACACAGGTAATCTCAACCCATATCAACTCAATAGGAAGTTTCTTAGAGACTACAGAATTTTTTTTTTCTTTACAACTTTCCCTGTCAAATTCTGAGTATAAGGCTGTAAGCTATATTGATTTTTAAATGTCTTCAGTGACAACACATCGAGGGCAGATACCAATAAAAATCTGCAAGCTTGTTATAAAGTCTTTTCAGAAGCATTCCTGTAACTCAAAATACTGTGTAAACGTTCTCTACCCTGATGCAACACTCAAGTGTAATAGGCTGATGATGGTCACGTGCTTTGTAAATTTCTGAAGAGATGTTTTCCATCTTATCTACACAAAATATGATCCACGTTCTCTATTACGCATAGAAGGATGTGAGGAAACTCACACATGGTTAATGTCTAACTTAAATTAAATCAATAAAATACTTGGCATATCACAGATCTTCTAAGAGTTACTGTGTTATAGTGCTAAATCCTCAGCTGGTACAAATCAAGAGCTACACTCCACTGCAGACCAGCAGAATATCTGGTCCATGCTATTGCTGACAAACTGCTGTGGCTGCATGCAACATTTTTTTCCTCATAGTAACTATAAAAAAATACAGTCTAAAATCATTTTCACTAAGATGTACAGTAACCTACTGAATATTCAAAAAAGCTTTGAGGGCAATTTGCACATCACATTTCAAGTCATCACTTTGTTCAATAGCACGTGACCGCACAAAATGATAACCAGACACAAATTCTCTGCCTTTTTCTTTAAGTGTACAATTACTTACAGGAATGTTGATGAACACTATATCAAACTCTGATGCTGACAGAAACCTTTTCAATGGCACCATGAAAAACTGTTAAGAAAAGTGAACATTGACTGGATTAATATATTCTCTATTCCATTATACAATTATATTATTACTATATAAATAACTATTCTACAAGCATAAAGTTCAGTGGCTTACTTTCTCTATTGACTCCAAGGTCTCAGTGTATTTCTCTTCAGTCTGTTTTATTTCAGTAAGGCAACAGCTTCTTATGTCATTTTCAGTACACTTCTGCAATTAGAAGCAAGTTAAATTTAATTAATTTGTGGACACCTTTTGTACAACAAACTCTTTTATTTGTTTACTGCTTAGCTATTAAGACACACTGCTTGTTGGAAAATTCTTAGTATTGCAACTTCAAAAGATTGGAACAGCTACCAAGGGAATAGTTTTTAAAAGCGCAAATAGCTGGCAACTTCTAGAATTTTAGTAGGGTTGAATTTTGATAAAATTTGTCATTCAGTATGTTATATTTTAAGATAAACAATAACTTAATCCTTCTTATATACTTTTAAAAATAATATAATGAGATTAAGATGAAATATAGATCCATATTTATTTAATTTGGGCCTTTATTTACAACAGTGAGCAGCTACTCATCGTAGTTAAAATCAATGAGACTCTCATGCTGTGAGTAATGGGCTCGCATCTAACTCTTTGTGTTTGTTTATAATTTTTCCTTTTACCTTTTCCCTGAAAGGAACTTGCATTTAGGTTCATAGTCCTATTCTGTTCCGAGTCAAGGACAGTAGCTGGATCTTAGGGCTCTATCCTGCAATCTTTGTATGTTTGTTTGTTCTTTACAGGACTCTGGGATTGCCTCACCCTAACAGGCCTGCTTCAGTTTCCTGCAGATGTGAGATCAGCAATATAGTGCATGTTGGGGCATATCACAGAGCAGAAGCTGATGTTAGATTTGAACATCATGGGCTCACTGCCACATTGGGCTTATTAAGGCTGAGCACAAAATTCCTGCACTGGAGTTCAGAATTCCAAGGTATCAGAGTTCTTTTTCCAGGATACAGACAAATATGAAAGAATGTGTTTATAAAGATTCTTAAAAGAAACATTTGGGCAGGTGTTGGTTAGCTTGCGGATTGGACACAATTCCTGGATTACTCCTGCATGGACATTTATCGTTCATGTCATTGTCACGATTGGATTCTCCACACCCAAAAAAACCTCAGCAAATAATAAAACAATAATAATATAACTTGTCTCCCCTAAATTCTTTCCACCTGTTCCCTGTTTCCTTCCAAATTCTATCCAAGCTCCTCATTCACATTTCCAAGGATCTTCATGACTGTAGCCCTGTCTGTATCTCAGCTCATTGCCTACTGTAACGAATCCATGTGCAGCAGATAAAGACAATTACTAGATACATTTGTTTCACACAGAGGAAGTCAGAACCAGAATCCTGAGACTTTAGTTCCAAAAAACACCCTGGCCTCTAACCCTTGAGCTAAAGGAAGACTCCTGTAGCTGTTGATCATAGTAGAAAGTCTACATCCACTCCATAGTCTAGTTACTAAAAAGAGCAATGTCACTCACTCAGACACAAAAAGTCACACTACTATTCCCCAACCCCTTCATGTCATCTTTGTCTTTTTCCCCCTGCCTATCACTCCACACCTTCTTTCAAGTAGTTCCCTACATCTGCCTCCTCCCTTCCACACACTAAACCACGTCATTCTCTTCCTGCAGATCCCTCCGTCAAACCTATTTCTTTCAGCCTAGTGAGGAAGATTTAGATAGTATGGGGAAGATGCTGTGTGCAGTGCATTTCCTTATCAGTTTGAGGCAGAATGAAGTTCTCTCTGAGCATACAGAGTCTGTCACAGTCAGTGGAAACCTGGTGTGTGGACATTAAGTTATGATTAAGAGCTGTCCCAAAATGTGGTATTTCCTGGCTATCAAAGATTTGTATTGGAGGGAATGTCACACTTTACCCATGTCCGTTCCTTTTAAACAAGTTTTTGGGTTTCAAATTATTATTTTGATTGGAGTCTATTTTTAATCTCCTCTTTGTGAGCTATTTTGTAAATAAAATGTGCGTGTATTACATTTCCAAAAGTGGTTTGTATAGCTTGGGCCCAACTGTGCAACCCTTACTTATGTTGCTGAGCACTAATTCATGAGAGCAGCCCCCAAGAAGAGCCCAAGTCAACAGGACTGATCTTGTCTGTTAGTGCTCACACAACACAAATTAGGGTTGCATAAGCGGGCCCTTTTTGTAAGTGTTCTTATTTAACACATCAATCTGCCGTCTATAGCAGATGCTACAATATCTTGGAATTTGAATACAGGAAGTAATGACAATGGTCAAAGGGGCTAAAAAGAGTGAAAGAAAACAGTCTGCTCAGTACACTAAGAAAATTGTTCTGTGGCAGCAGTCTGCTGGCACAGGAAACTTTGGTACCTTAGTTTACGTTGTGAGGCAGTCACATCAAACAACAAAGAAGTCACATCAAACAACAAAGTAGTTTTAAACTGATACACGTATTCTTCTCTAGCTGCGTAAAACACCAAACACAGATTTCTAAAGCATTTTCATTCTTCTAAAATTGATTTGCAATTGCAAGTCACCTCTAAGCCCCCTATGCTAGTGAATTTCATTCAAAGGACTCAAATGAAAGAATTGTGCCAATGTGTAATGTTACTGTGCATCACATTTGCAAATCTAATAGTAAATTATTGTATACTAAGACAGCCATCAAATCCAACAAAGATATACAATGTCAATGAAACAAACATAATACATCCATTCTTACCATATCAGGTATAAAAATGTGTGGACATAATGCACCATGTTTTAATCTACTGTTCTTTTTAATTAGGAAATTAATATTAAACATTTTTAGATCTTTAGTATTATTTTTTCTTCCCACAAGCAAATTCAGACTATGGCTGCCATTCCCTCCTAAACTCACCCTGTTATGTCCATTGAAGCTACATACCTTACAGTACTTCATTTGTAAAGGCAAGAAAGAAACAGAGTTTGCAAAGGGGAAAATATGTCAAGGTTCGTCAACTGCTAGGACTGGGAGAAATATCCATAATGATACCTGAATTTCACATGGTTTTGAGTTTCATTGCAAACAGAATACTCGGACTAGGATTATCGAAAGATCCACTATAGTTCACACCCATTTTAAGCAAACAACTGGGCCCAGTTGCAAGTGAACTTGATCTGATTTATGGTTATATATAGAAATCATGCAAAATTTGTACTTTTAACTGAGTTTTGGTAAAGGTTACCCCAAAACTCAAAAATTGATCAAATCCAAACAAAACATAAACCACTACAAACTGAAACTCCCAAGTTTCACAATATTTTACACATCACTTATTTTACTTAAAGGTACTGTGATGCAGGTTGCTGAAAGTAAAATGTCCTTAGTATAAAAATGTCTTGGAAAAAGTGATGATACTCTTAAATTGTCATTAAGATGCATAGTAATTGGCAGAGTCTAGACTTACATGAATCATATTGACACAAGTCAAAAATCTTTCCAAGGAAATAGTCTTCTCACGACATAATGGTAAATTCTCAGAATCACAACAAAAACACATTGTATGAACTGCAGGAGATACCTACAACTTGCCGCTTTTATAGCAGGAGAACACAGGAAAACAACCTTCAGACCTTTTCATTTTCTCACTTCTACAAGTCACTATATCACTGGAATTCAATCTGGAAATGTAGATGGTGAGCTCCCACCTTAAAACACGCAACTTCCTTGAAAAAGTGTGCATCATCACAATAGCACACTAAAGATTTGCAGGTAAGCCAAATGAATGCTTGTAAAGAGATGGACAATAAGTTATTAGAACGGGTTTTGACATCACCTCGCTTCCAATTACCAGTCCATTAAAAATGGCTAGTGAGTAAATTTTGTGCATGGGCATGTAAATTTCATGGCACTTTTGTAAAGCTGACACACATGTATATCTATATGTACAATATACATGCTAGCTCTCTCTATTTAACTAGTTCATGACTAATGTTGCATAGTGGCCAAAATAATATGGGGAACACTTTTTTTTTTTTTTTTTAAGTAGCATACTTTTGAGTAAACAGTAGCATTTATTTTTTCAAATGGTCTTAACTCAAGTAGCTAATAAATCTTAATATCCATACCTAACTGGATCTTAACTAAATAATGATTTATTTTCATGTTCTCTTTTTACTGTTGAAATAGTGTTGGTATTTCTTTCACAGAAAGAATTACCAGAGTGAATCTTTGACCCTTTCTCCATAAGAGAATGTTGGATTTCACAGCAGGATGATAATGTTATGATCCACTGCATATGTTACATGGTCACTGTACACAAATGTGAACTCAACCATAACAACACAGCAGATCTGAAATATCTAAATTTAAAAAAATACATACAGTGTTAGTGAAAACAGCTAACAGTTATTTAATGAATGTTAGTAAAATTTAACTTTCACACTACCACTATTTCTCTATGAATATGTCTGTAGTCACCCAAAAAATAGAAATCATACAGGTTGATGTGCTGCTTCATCTTTCATTAAGTCTTCATATACTTCCCCACCTTCATCTTCTCCATAGACACAATCATATAACTCTTCATCTTCATCGCCGCCACTTTCACTAAAAGAAAAAAGGAAAAGCAACAACATAAAGGGTCAGTGTATTGAACAGGGATTACAGAGTCAACACTAGGAAACAGAATTTACCAAGTGTCTGGGTTTTTACAGTAAATCTAAAACAGATGAATGAAAAAGAACTCTCTAACTGAACTAAACCACAAAGGGACTATACAATCAATACGTTTTTTTGTTTTTTTTACCTCAACACATTTAACATCTGACTTTATAAAATTAACACAAGTTTGAAGAAACAGAATTAAGTTTCGAACCACGACAGGAATTGAAATAAGGTTTCTATGGAGAAAATGGGGCACTGAGTTCTTGCTACCTAAGTTACAGATGGGCCTCAGCATCCGGGCAAATTAAAATCTATCCTAAAACGAGTGACTCCCCACGTACTAAATGGGACGGTGAGTTCCTCCGACACCATTTGGACCCAGAGAGAGATCATTAAGGTGGAATTATTCTTGTAAAATAAACTTCCCTGGTTAGGGGGAAAACCCCAGCTCTCTTGAACTATTTATATTTCTTAAGAAATACATACTTCTTCCAGCTGTTTCCTATCTATATTTTAGAGAGCATCTAACTATTACATTCCAGTGTATGGTACATGCTACCTGACATAATAACCAATCCAAAATAAATCCATTGTAAATTTTTACATGTGAATCCTATAACAGTGCATCAAAATAGAGGCTATTGCACCTAATATTGTAACAGATTTCTATTTTAGAAGCATATGTAGGAACCATGTTTTTAATGCTGATGCACATATTGCAAAAAGACTATAAATCTTAAATGGGGTAACTTTTGTATGTAATACCAAACTTCTTGTTCTTGTTAAAATCACATTTCTATCCCTTTGTGTTAGGATTTTGTGTTTAATAATATTGCTATAAATAAAAATTTTGGCAGAGCTGTATGATTTTCTGTATTGTAAACTGTTAGATGCGGGGATTTGAACTGCTAAATTTATAAGTGTCACAACTGAAACATTAGGATTTTTCACAAAACTTTTGTCATTGTAAAGGGAGAGAATGTCAAGGTCTGTTATAGCCTGCTCTGCTACTCAAACAGAAGGAGGATGGCTAAAATATGAACCCTTTTTCTTTTGACTTTCCCTTGTACAGCAATGTATTCTGCCCAGAACAGCAAGCATCCTGCAACCCTTAACTACATGTGGAAATTAACTCACGTGACGAGTTCCACTGGATTATGTGGGACTACTTACATGAATAAAAATACATATACGCATAATTGTCTGCAGGATCAGGGAAAAGCATTCATTGATTCTGTCATTTTACGTAAGCATTCTGATGATACAAACAAATAATTCTAGAGAGCGCACTGATACTTCAATTCATCACCAGACCCCATCATGAAATATCATCTGATTTTCATGGGTATGAAAATCAATCATTAAGCTAAGGTGCTTTTTTCTGGACAATTAATTCTTCCTTTCTCCCAATCCTTGGTCAATCAGATAAAATAACTTATTTTAGAACACTATTTCATCACGTCATTTAAATAATAGCTACATAACAGAAAATTAAAAGCTTTCATTCTGCTTAAAAGATTTACGACATACTCTAGTAAATCAGGAAGGCCTTTGTAGATATCTTCATCATCAACACTTTCTTCTGTAGGGAATGGCCTAGAGAGACAAAGGACAACAGTATTAATCAAAGACTGTACCAGACTGGGTGTTCAGTTTGGGTGGTATGCTGCCAAAATTTCAATTTATATTAATATGTCTGTCAATCTGTTTGTGTGTCTCTCTCTCTTTGATATTGTGGTTTATATGATTGAACAATTTAAAAAAAAAATTGCCACACATGCATGATGGAACTGTTGCATGTAATCATGAATATAAATCAGAGATTTTAAAAGCAAGTATTAACTACTATGTATTTACAATTAAGTCAAAAATCCATGATTTTCAAAGGATTTTTTCTTCATTTATGTTTTAAAGCCTTCACTTCTGATATTTTGGGTGAGTGAATGTGATGATCAAGAATTCAATCTGAAAAGCTTGAAAGTGACCAAGTCAAAGTGTGGTCTGCGTGGGAAGGTGAGAGAAGGTATAATTATGGTTCCTAGTTTGTCAAAGTGGGAGTATCTTACGCTCAGACACAGGTTGTGATTAATCAGCTGCCTTCCAGCTGAGGCTGTAAGGTCAGGGTTCAGGTGATAACTTGGAAGATCACCTGGTCCTTGTAAAAGCCAGCAAGTAGTTCAGCTGAGAACTGCAGGAGTCCCTGAATCAAGGGAAAGAACCCAGTTTGATACGTATGACTCTGAGGAAGACAGCCTGCAGAGCATAAATCTATAGGGAGCAGGCTAAGATGGAGAAGGGAGTCAGGAGGCCCACCCAGACTCTAAGCAGATGGCCTGTGAAGTGCAATCCGACAGGGCGTAGATAAGCCTTTGTAGAAGACCCCATGGAAAGGACATGGTTGATTGTATAACACAAGTTCAACAATTTTGGTTTGAAGAAATAAAAGTGAAGCGCTGAAGAAAAAGGGAGAAAAAAATCCTCTGGTTGGAGAGTGTTCTGCAGTGCATGGGCCAGTGAGATCCCCCTGCCTCCACCTCAAACACTTACACAGAGTGTTAAGAGGAATCTGCACAACACTTCTGCTCCTGCTGCCTTTGCAGAGAATGAGGCAGGACAGCAGCAGTGGCTCTCACCTGTCTGTTTCCTGCGCTGTTGCTACAGGACTGAAACAATAGGCACTGGACTAATGGTTTTAAATGGTTTTAATGAAATGCACACAGGAGGTTCATATCACTGACATCTGTGGGAGCCATCTCTGTGCATTATAAGGCAGTTTTTGACCCTTGCTATATAATTATTTCCCCACCGTAAACTGTGTTTCTGTCATTTTGGCCATTCACCAGTTCATCTTCTGCCTCAGCACTATCTGGGAGGCCTAGGGCTCCTCAGCAAATGTACCAAAAGGAGAGAAAGAAAATGCCCTAGTGGACTCCACAGAGAGTTTAAGGTTCAGAGAGCCTTGGTTACTTGTCCAACGAGGGAACCCAAGTCATAATCAATGAGGTGCCCAATGATGTCTGAGTTAATGGAGGGAATTTCTTTTGCCTTAGAGGATCCCCTGTATTTCTTGCTTTCCCTTCTCTTTCTCTACACTCTTTCAGTTTTACAGGTGAGGTGGGTAGGGGAATGCACATTGGGAGAAGGCAAACTGTCCCAGTGTGTTGAATGCAGGAGCAGATAAATGTTGAAAATTCACCAGACACCTATTTGCCGGCCTACTAACCAGACACAGAATCACAGAAGGGACCTTGAGAGGTCATCAAGCCCATCCCCCTGCACTGAGGCAGGACCAAGTGTTTGTCCCATTTGTTCTTAAAAACATACAAAGATGGGGAGTCCACAGCCTCCCTTAGAAGCCTATTCCAGAGCTTAACTATCCTGCAGTTAGAAAGTTTATAGTTAGAGTGTGAAAAAAAAGGATGTGAGGTGAGGGCCCCACCGGAAAGTGGCACTGAGATGGGAATGAGCTGGTGAGAATCACAGCCATGTTGTGCCTTATGCTAGGAAGAAGGATTCCTACCAGAATGTCATGTGTTTGAGGGCTCCATCCTTTGTATCAAGTTCTGACTCACAGGTATCAAATGAACACGAAACTCCATACCCTCTTTCTCGCCCCCTAAGATGCTGGACAGGAAATAGAGATTTCTGTCTCTTTTCCCCATTCATTACTCCCCAACTATTGCGAGGGTGGAGGGGGGAAGGTCTCTTCCCCAGGCTCACCTTTTTCTGATCCTCCCCAGCCATTAAAAACTCTAGACTTGCCTTTGTTGCCATTTACAGCTTTCCCAAGCAGTAGCATGAAATTGATGTTCTTGATATTTTAACTACTGCCCATAGGGTTCCAAAGAGCAGCAATGAAAATTGAGCAGAACCTTGAAAATTTTGCTCTACTGCTGCTTGAGAAATCTGTCAGCTGCACCAGAGGCACTGAGAGCTGCCTACTGTCTCAGGAAAACATCTGAATTTGGTTTACATTCAGCTGACATTTGGAAGGTTATCTTCACAGCCATAATTCTTGTAAATATGTTTATTATTATTTGAAAGAGAGCTTTAATATTTCTTAAACCAATGAGGTAGGACACAAACACTGTAAGAGAAAGCCTCTCAGGAGCCACTGGTGAGTGCTGTTTTTGAGCCCTACGCAGGAGTATTAGTTCACAACATATGTAAATACCTTGTGAGGTGGTCTCATTATAACATACTTAAAACATACACAACAATTCCTTTATGCTGTATAACTGAGGACACACATACAGCAGGTTATCAATAGAAACCCAATACAATTTTGTAGAAAAAGTTATTTGTTACAAGTTAGATTGTTTAAAAAAATATATACTTTTGTCAAAATATTAAGAGCAATTGGACTATATATTATAGACAACCCATTCGATCAATTTCAAATTTTAAGCTGTTTACATGCAAAAAAAATAAATTTTAATAACTTATTTTGTTTTATCTACAACTATTTATAAAGAGCCAAATATATATTTCAAATATGGTTTAAAAACAAAGCTGAGAGTGAGACTTTCACTGCTATTTCCATTCCAAAATGAATTTGATCAGACAAATGATAAACTCTCGAAAGCAGGTGTTTTACCCAAAAATAGGCATTGGCCTTCAGATACAACAACAGCACAAATGGCTGTTCCTTAGCATAGCTGTTTACTTCTAAATATAGAGAATGCAGACAACCCCACGGAAGAAGTGAAAGCAAATTTCCAGTGGTGACAGGGGAAGGGAAGGAGGCACCTTCAGCTCTCAGTTCTGGAAAACGTAAAATCTCACTGCACACTAGCGTGAATTAGCACGCTGGAGATTCACCATGAAGGAGTTCTGCTTTGTGGGCTATGTGATATGGATTTCCTTTAAACATGTAGAGTTTTAAAGTCAGAACTACTGGTAGCGCTACTCTAGACAAGAACGGACCTCTATATACAATTAGAAGCGCAGAAAAAATAAGGCTAAAACAGTGCAGCTGAGATCATATTTCTTTTAATTGTATATCATGTTACTTGTTTTATAAATGATAAAATGGAAGTTTAGTAGCACTAATGTCGTACCTTATTCCTGTTGCTAATGCAATAGAAGTGCGAGAAAGTTTTGATAGTGTTTCTATGACCTACAGAAAAGGGGAACAGAAAATATTTGTTTAGTTGTGGAACAGAAACTATATCATACTTTGTACTCTATTTTTCAATTCTGTAATGAGATCCTGCTTAATTTGCATCATACACTACAAATAGTTGGCACTCTGGATCTGGCCCTGCAAAGTGCTGCATTGCCCTCAACTCCCAAGGTCACAGCAGCTCCCAAGATTAGGTCTTTAGCGCTTTTGGGGGATTGGGGGAGAGGGGAGAGATGGGCTCTTGATAAAGAGTTAAGTTTAAACAATTTAAATAGATTTCAGAGTGTAAATAAAATAATATTTTTAAATCCACAACAAGCAAGTTCAATGTGCATTTAGACATGAATGAAATGTTTACTGGATGTTATCCTGGAAACCGCCATGAGAAGGCTGTTTTTTAGCTACCAAGGAAGAAAAGAATATCCATTCCAGCTATTCCACCAACTGACCAGAAGAGGGACCCATAAGACAAATCATTCTTAACGTGTTTCTGCTAAAGAAGTTGGCAGCCTACAAGAAGCAAGTCCCAGCTCATCTCTAGAAAATGAAAAAATTCTTAGAGTTTCATTTTAAGGAGGGTGCTCAAGAACATACATCAAGAAAGAAGAATACAGGGGAAAGAGGGAGAGTTAATTTGATAGTATGTGTGGAATTATTCTGCAGTCATCTGCAATATAAGGCCACCTTGTGGTCTGCCCACCAGTTAAGATTTGCTCTGTGTCACTCATAAGTTGTCCCACTTTGAGCACTGACTGTTGACTGTAAGGCTAGCAATTACTGTTGTCCAGAAAAATTGAGTCAAAGGAGACCCAATGTAAATGCCTGCAACTCCACTGAAGCCATAAGAGCAGCACCCAGTTACACCAGGACTGAATTTGGCTGATTGTCTAGTCCATATTAAGCTAAGCCTTGCATATCAGAGGAAATATATTGAACATATTTCTAGGAATGCCACATTCTATAAATGTGGCGTTGGTTGGAAATAATCCTCCACAAACAATTAGTATAGCAGCCTGCTGATAAAACTGCAAATTAAGACCTTATCACCCTCAACAGAACAACAATGCAATATTTAGAGAGGAAAACAATGCGCTAAAAACACACAGTAGTTATCAACCCACTGCACACACTGCAGATAAAAAAAACTCCATAGCTAGTAAGTATGGCTGGTTGGGAAATGTTCAACAAAACTTCTTTCATCAGAAAATGATTATTCATTGACGCCAAAGCTTTTCATGGAAACATTGGCTTCAATTAAGCTTCAGTCAAGAAGGTTTCTCAGGTCAAAGGGAGACACCCACTCGAGAATAGCCAACTGTCAGTGGTTAGGGCACTCACCTGAGATGTGGGAGACCCAGGTTCCAATTCCTGCTCCAAAGCAGGTAGAGCTGTGAAAATCAGGCTAAAGAGTCAGTCTCTCTCTCTCTCAGACCCAACGAAGTAGAAGAGCTTCAACATGAGGCAGTGAGAGAGAAACAAAACACTAACTCTATAGCTCAGGGCACTTGCCTGGGATGTGGCTCCTATCAGAGCTTTGCTGAAATCATACCACCTCTGTGAAACATTTCACTTTAGACAAATCTGCAAATTCCAGTGAGAATTTTTTCATCAGAACGTCTCCAACTAGCTCGTTAGAAGTACTTGCTATACACACACAACATTTTCTGATTTTACAATATTTCATATGACAGTAGGTTATTCAATGTGCTGTGCAGGAAGCTGCAATACATCTTAGAAGAGGCTCTGTACTCATGGATTATAATGTGCCCTCTCTTTAATGCCCATTACATTGTATTTCACACTTTTCATATTATCTCCGTCCTTCATTCTTATTTTTCAGAGGAACTGAATATTCTGTTTTTATTGGAATGAAGGAATCTTTTTGGGTTCCCAGCCTTCTTCTCCAGAAGGGGACTGTAATACTTCCTCGCAGCAAATCATACTCACAATAGGCTACATTGCACAACTGGATTTAGCTGGATTTTAGCTTTAGGTGCTAACTTAGACTGTAAGCTCTTCAGGGCAGGGACCATCTTTTTGTCCTGTGTGGGCACAATGCTCGACACAACAGGGCTCTGATCTAGGACTGGGGCTACAGCACTACCGCAACGCTAATGAACAACAACAGGAGTGCATGGGACTTTGCTCCCCTCAGAGACAGGTGCATGGAGAGTAGGCCAGGAGAAAGCAGAGTCATAACTCTGCGCCGGTTGACTGCGGGAGGTGCGGGGAAGAAGTAAGTTATACCCTTAAAAAGGCTATAACAAATTATTCATCCAGTGTAACTGGGGAGGCACAATGACGCATGGGACCCCTCTGGGGACAGTGCAGCTACAAACTGCCCCTTATTCAGGGTTGATTCACAAATGCACAATCTAGATCTGATTTTTTTAAACACTTCAATATTTGTGTATGAAAAGATTTAATTAGGCTCAGTTTACTACAGCTCACTACACAAGAGAAAAACCCCCCTCTGACACTTTTCTAGCAGAACATGGGAGCCTTCAGGGAGAGAGACAGTCAAACAAATGAAGAGGAAGTTCTTCTGGTATGCTATTTCTACATTTCCTTTACAGCAACTCTGAATGTTTGAGAATGAGGTTATGTACCTCTTCAGAAGCACATTGTCACATCAAAGCCAAACTCTCATTTCTAGAGCATAACACCCAAGACTGTTTTTCAGTGCATGAGTTTATGCAAAATAGGGCATGAAATTCAAACACAGGACACTCCAAAAGAAAGTGTATCCTGGACTGCTCCCCCGTGGGAGATGTCTTCCTGATTCATATATTTCAAGCATACTTGGCAGAGTGAATGGGTTTGAACGAAGCATTAACTTTTACTTCATGAAGTTCTCTAACAATAGGTTTTTTGGGAGTTAGTATTTATTATTGCTTCACCTGATTCACACCAAAAACTGCAACAACTTGGATACACGTGCTAAACAGTTGTGCATTAAGGGTTAAGAAGCCATTCATTTGTTAGCCGTTTGTGTATGCACATCTGTATCCTCTGTTGAAATGTTTATTTTGTAACTTCCTGCAGCAATATTCCTCAGTAAGTCACATTGACTATTCCTATGTGTAGTTATAGCAACAGTACTGTAGGGTGACTCTTTCATCTCTCTCCAGCCATGGAGATTTCTCCTAGTTTAACTGTGCTATGATACAGCAAATGTGGGTGTTGTTGTGTTGATGGTGGTGTATTTTTAACAACATAGTCAACCTACAAGTCCTGCACTTCAAGTCCTGCACTACAAGTCCTGTCTTCTTAAAAGCCTTTCCCATTGATATTTAAGAAGACAACTATAAAGATAAATCATATTGCAATGTAATACTGAATCTACATTCATCCTTTAAACAGGCAACAGTTTAAATACACTGAAGCACCTGGCCACACATGAAGAGTATATAACAATTAATCTGTGTTCATTTACTATTTACAGCATCTCAGCAATTAAATGCTTTTGTTGACTGTAACCTTTGGGCCCAATCCAGCAAACACTACAGATCTGTGTTTACTATGCTGATTAGGCCCACAGAGGTCAATATAACTAGACATGATAATAAGCACTATGCACTCAGGGTTGTTTTCTGGATTGGACCCATGTTTGTAATAAATACTGTATTTTATCTATATAATAAATTAAATGTTTGTGGTAATTTCATAAACTGCAAGTTGTCTAATGCATTGACAGCTTAATAGCTTTAACTAAAAGTACAGTTATTCTGTAACAAGTAGGAACGAACAGTCTGGGTCAGATTTTCAAAGTAGCGTGGCTCCTATTTAGGCACTTAAATAAGCATGAGATTTTCACAAACACCCAGCACCCTGCAACAACCATTATGTAATTTATGGCCAGATTACAAGCTGAGCTTTTTGAAGCCCTGACCCTTAATTCTTTCCCCTAAAATTAATTTAATCAGCAGAGGGAGGGAGGGAGAGAAGGAGATAGATAGATAGATAGATAGATAGATAGATAGATAGATAAAGCCATTTCAGTAGCGACTGCTATAGTTAACATTGTAAAACATTTCCATTACAAACATATTTTTACTCTTTCTGAAACATCATAGTCTTTGCCCAAATTTTTGGGTTAGGTTTGTTTGGCTTTTAATTTTTTAAATTTTTGAGAAAAACCTCTTTAGCCATTGGATTCAGGAGAAGATAAAAGGTAAATATGCATGTTCCCCTATTTTATAAGTAATTTCACCGCTTCCATCACACATAAAACTTGAATAACTTGGGATTCGTGCAGTGAACTCCAAGGGCACTGGAAAGACACTCCTACTTGCCACAATCTTCAGACAGGCAGTAGGTGTGCAACACACCCCATCCACTGCCTCAATTCCTGTCTGAGATTGGAACAGTGATGCCAGCCTCTGATACATTCATCTCTTTTTGATACTTCCTCTTGTAGTGCCCTGTGTTTTTGGATGGGTTTTTGTTTTGTTTCCAGAGGTTAGTACTAGGTAACTGTCTGCCCTGGGTAACACTCTCACACAGACCTCTAGTCTGTCACCCTGCCCAGACCATTTATACAGTATTTGAAGATGTCACAGGGTATAGCAATGACTCCACTATGTAATTAAAACCCAGATCTACATCTCAGTTCCATCAGATCCAATCAATGCAGTTGAACGACTTATCCAGTGTCAGGCCAAGATCAGCGCATGGGTGAGAGTCATCAGGTTGGCCGTCAGACAACTAAAACCAAGGTAATGAATGATGCCTGCACCAGAAAAAAATGGCACAGATGCTATGTGCTCCTTCAACTGAGCAAGCATACCTGTTCTCTGTTACCCAGCCAGGAGCAAACTTTCCCCATCAGTGCTTGGCAAGGGTGTAGTGTTCTTTACTTACAAACCTCACAACAATTACCCATGCCTTAGTCACCTCATGCATGGATTCCTCATGGGACTATGCACTAAGACCATTCAAACTTCAGGTAGCAAACCCACCTGTTTAATATGCAATCAATGTTTTAGATAAGG